AGCTTATGATTACATCATATTATTAAAAACTATCTCTAGTGATACTCACCTCATTGACTTTAATGCTTTCGTAATTATACATTAGTTTCATTAGGAATTATACATGCAGTAGTACGTTTTGTGTAATTTATGACAATAACTTACCTTACAAAATCATTGTCAAAATAACCATACAAAAAATATATAATCCCTTTAATTTATTTATCATAATCATTTACCGACCTGCGTTCAATATGTTTCACTGATTCCAAACATCTCTAGGTTGTATCTTTTCATTTCTACAGCGATTTGGATGACTGTTCCGGTTTTCTACATTGTACGAACATCCCATGTACCTAAAGTAATGGTTGATCTAGTTGTCAGAAGATAAAGTCAGCCTCATGAATTCCGAAGGGATTCGGTTTTCACTATGAGACATCATAACTCTTCTAAATAAAAAGACCTTCTAACTCCCATAGCACAGTATAAATGGTTTAAATTATTTTTTTTTCTGGTTAGCGTGAGTTAGTTTTTTCACGCGATGAGGTCACTAACCCCATGTTCAACCCTCCCCCTTTATCCAGGCTTAGAACCGACAGTAACCTCAGAGGGGTTTAAGGCAGAGTTAATTGATTTACCACCACTCTTATATTCTTTCATTATAAAAAAATCGAATTCAATCAATGTTTTAAATTTCATTTTTACCCTTAAGCAACAAAGAAAAAAATTGTTTTCTTCAAATCTATTACCCCTTTTGTAAAAAGAAAAAAAATCTTTTTCTTTGATGACCAAGCACTTTTTCACATTAATAATAAAACAATCATAATATAGAACCGATTTCTTCTTTTTATATTCTTCCCCTCAGTTTATCCGCTGGAAACGCGTTTTTACGCGTTTTTTTCAAAGATTTTTTTGTATTTTTGTTTTTTTTTGTCTTATCCCATCTGTTACAAATTTCAATGAATAAAAAAGGGATAATAATTTAACAGAAATATGAATTAGATCAAATAGTATAATGAATATTTCTTATTAAAGTTTGATCGGTTATGTAATAGATTTCAAATAAACTTATTTCTTCACAATTGATTGATCACTGAGTTGTGATTAATGTCATGCGTGTCTAGTCCTTATTAGTGCAGATCGAATGCTATCGATCATGTTGCAATGTGGCCACCAGTCTAGGTGACTCGACACTGCGGGCACTATGTATTGAGATTAGATGGTGGTTGGAGGTAGTCAACAGGAAACCCTGGACCCGGGTTTCGTGCTACTTGGCACTCGTCAGCAAGGTGTACCTGTAATCTTGAGGGAACTGGTGCTCCCTGGCGGATTCGATCTCGTGTCACCCAGCTTCACAGTCAGAGACGTTACCACTGAGCTATCCGAGACGTGACTACCCTCCTGTATGACTGAGATGTAATCACGATTGATTGATCACTAGGTGGTGATCAGTGTCATGCGAGATCGAATCTGCCAGGGAGCACCAGTTCCCTCAAGATTACAGGTACACCTTGCTGATGAGTGCCAAGTAGCACGAAACCTGGGTCCAGAGTTTCCTGTCGACTACCTCCAATTACTATCTAATCTCAAATTTATTTCTTGATTAGATACAAATCATTTATATTGTAGTTTAAAACATGGTAGAAAGTTATGTGGAAAAATGGATAGTGGTTAGCACTAGAATCCAGTTTGACGCGCGTTTCATCCTATTTGCGACTTGTCAGCTGGATATACCTATGTGGTCTGTGCTACTTATATTGACATAAGTAGTATATGATGTTAGTCGTGAACAGAATATCTGGCAACAGAGAGACAAGAGGATCGAACAGTAAAGAATGGAAACAGAATGCAATTAGTATGAGAATGCAAGAACAATGAAGTCTGATTCATTTTGAGACAATTGATGGACATTTTGAAAATTAAGCATTTACTTTGTGATTGTTAGATTTTAATGACAAGTCCTGTAATTTGTGTGTCAAATACATTCGATTGTCTCCACCGGTGTTCTTGTTCACTAAACTTGCATATCAGAGTTGATGTTCACTTTGGGACTCAAACCCAGTACAGTTCGCTTGCAAATGACCACGTTATCTACTTAGCTATTGACTTTTAATAACTGCTTAAGCCCAATAAGGTGAAGTTGAAATTTACATGGTATTGTTTGTTTGAATCTTCTCATTGATGTTCAGGACTACAATTGACCAGTCTCTCATTGGCATATATGTATACTGTACGTACTGCCTCGATATAGCCTTAATTCACAAGGATTCTATGCAAAGATGAATAGCGAATGGTACTGGGTTCGAGTGCCAGAGTGAACATCAACTCTGAGATGCAGGTACATCCAGCTGACGAGTCCCAAACAGGACGGAGCTGCGCGCAACCTGGACTCCACTTCTATCCACTATACCAACTGAATGTAATAGAAAGTTGTTTATTTCATTAAATTCAATCATTTTAAACCAAAAATCATTCATGAGACAAGATGACATATATAGTGACAATGAATTAATGATTTTCACCTCGAATTTCTTATAATTAAGATGGTTTTAATGTAGAACGAGTTTTTTTCAGAAATTTAAAACGAGAATAAAAAGAGATCTGATATGAGTTATATTTTGATTGAGATCATGAATTGATTAATGTTAGACTATCATTAAAAATCTGGAAACATTGGACGGATCTTTCGTCCTAGTATCGGACTCTTCAAAAAACCATACAAACAATTCCGCACTCAGGAATCGGTTATATTTAGAGCTTAGATTCCTAATATTGCCGTGTATAACTTGAGCAACTTTAACGCTAGAACCATCTCGAGTCGAAGTTGAGAAAACAGGAGACAAGTGAAAGGAGTGCTATTCTAAACATTGTCAAATATGACACAAAACTCTTAGGTATTTATAGTTTTTAGTAAAAATGAAGTCATTATTATAGTCCTCCGATCCGTATACAGGGGTTTATTAGCATTTGCTCAACATGAAAGCTACATGTAAAGATTCTAGAATATATTCTTGCAAAAGATAATTGGATAGGATATCTTCGGCTCTTTCTGAGCTTCTTAGAGCTTCCTCGAGTTCATCCGTGGATCGTCCTCACAGAGTCGAACCTATGACGTCCTATCTCATGTGTGAACTTTAACCATTAAGTGGACATTCAAAGGTGTTAATGTCTAGATTCAATCAATCCATTTTTTTAGAAAAGTTTAAATTCTGTTAAATGAAGCGAGATTTTTTGATTGAGATCATGAACTGATTGATGTTAGACCACCGCTGGAAACCTGTAGGCACTGGACGACCGTTTCGTCTTATTGTGGGACTCTTCAGCAGTGCGCATCCACGATCCCGCTCGCGGGATTCAAACCATATGCTGGAATGAGATTATTTAACTTTGAATCAAAAACACTTTTAAAAGTGATATTTATGTGTAATCAATATAATCTCGAAAGTCTATGAAGATAGATACCAAGTTTTTATCTAAAGAGAAAGAACTTGAAGAACTCTCTGATAATAGAGTTATTCATAATCTTGGAAATCTTTAGATTTTTTCGAAGAACATAAAGAAGGTTAACTATTGGAAGACAAATTATTATAAATTATTTATAGTTGGAAAATGATAAATTTTCGATTACAAGTCAGTGATTGAATCGATTGATTAGTTAGTTATCCTAATTGTTCCATATCAAATAGAGAAGGTAGTCAAGAGTACTCACAAATGAGAATTTTCAAGCATACATTAGAACGTCAGAAAGTTTCAAAGGTTCTTCATAGAAGGACACTATAGCTACATATTTTGAATTCATTAGTTCGAATATGTTATCTCTCGATCACCGATATGGTTAACTTTCACATTCAGAAACGTTATCTGGTCAGATTAAATCAACAGTAACAACTGTGACCATGTGAAAATAGAAGAGATCTGTTTACACCTCAAAGGGAGTTTAAGTTCCCTAAATATTATAGATATGTCTTGTTGGTAAGTGTTCACTAGCATGAAACTAGAGTTCATGGGATGAGACTATAATTTATGGACGACATTTCAGCGACATTAAAATGACCTTGAGAGTGTCCATTAATAACTAGGAGTAAATGACGGTTATAAACCTGTGTGAGGAATTTGAGTTATGATTTACAGTTGATGGTTAAAGTTAATAATTAGATTTAGGGTTTTCTTCCCTAATTGACATTAGCTATGATGTTATGAATCTATTTAACCAAACGGATGAATGAATTTCGCGCCAAAATCTAAAACTGTTATCTTAAATCTGATTGGTTCGTCCATAAATTATCATCTCACCGTTCATGTCTTTCGGTCAATTGTCTCCAACTATCTAACAATAAAAGATGATACATTTACTTTCTAATCATTTAGTCTAGTTTCCAACATGTGTCTTAATCTATAGAGTTCGATTGGAACTATGAATTATACAAATATGATATTATCAGAAGGGGTTTTGTGGATACTATAGTAATTTTTAATAGTTGAGATCATGAGTCATTTAAAGATAGATCACCATGGAAAACCTGGAAGCACTGGATGGCCGCTTCGTCCCATTGTGGGACTCTTCAGTAGCGTGCATCCACAATACCGCTTTGCGAAATTCGAATCCAGGATCTATCAGTCTCGCGTGCGAGCGCTTAAACACTAGACCACTGAGCCGGCATCCAATGGAGTTAATGTCTAACTTCAACTAATCCACGAAATTGAGCGACACATCCACAATTGTCTTCAGTGAGTTACTATCTAACAACAGACCTGCTTGAACACCATGAGTCACGGCTTCTCATTAGGACTCTAAGAGATACCTCTTGAAGTCAGTCACTAGTGAGCATATGTTGATTAATTAAGAAGGGGTTCTGTGGAGATTGCAGTAATTTAATAGTTGAGATCATGAGTCAGCTGATGCTAGACCACCATATTATGATATTAGTTACTTTCAATAATCTTTGTATTTGTATATTTAACTTTAGACTATTTAGTACAGAGTATCAATCAATTGTAATCAGTTCTATTACATAATAATCATGGGTATGATAACAACTAATGTATTAGAAGAATCTTTAAGTTTTGGACCTTTACCAACAAGTTTAATGATAGCTGAACCAGCATATTTAATTGCACAAACAACAACAGATAGATTATCTGAATTACCAACAATCTATGTAAGTTAATTTATATGAATTACTTTCGATGAACTAATCAAATTTTTAAATTTATATTGTAAACTGGATTAGTGGAATTATGATGACACTTTGTAGTTAATAACGTTAGGAGATGATCAATATCATATATATCAGAGCCTTCTTAGTGTAGATCCAATCCTATCAACCAAGTTGCAATGTGACTATTAGTCTAGGTGACTCAATATTGTATGCATTATTTTGAAATTAGATGGTGGTTAGAAAGTCTGACATATATGACATTGATCACCATCCAGTGATCAATCAATTGTAAATACATCTCAGTCCTACAGGAAGTTAGTTGTGGTTCAGACAACTCAGTGGTAATGTCTCTGACTGTGAAGCTGGGTGACATGGGATCGAATGTATTAAGGAACAACAGTACTCTCTCAATATTACAGGTACACCTTACTGACGAGTGCCAAGTAGTACGAAACCTAGGTTCAGCGTTTCCTGTTGACTACCTCCAACCACCATCTTGTAAAATTGTACTTCGCAACTAAACAATGTTAGTTTGATCATTATTAAAAACTATGAAGTGGTTGATATATGTATGATGTAACTAAGTAGAATAGAGAAATGCATAATGTACATGTGAGTATATGTTGTAATTCGAGTTATTGGTCATCAACGTAGAGTAGTAATTTTTAAACATTTGAAATTTAAACCTTCTTACTGCAAACTATCCTCAATAATACAACATTATTAGTAATACTAAAGCGAAGTGAAGTTGGTTACTATTGAAGAAATTCATTACAATAAATTGAACAGATCAACGGTATTCAAAGTATAGATATTAGTGTAGGGAAGATCTGGAAAATTCCTCAAAAACTAGCCAACAAATGCTCTGAAGAAGCATAGTATCCAATCCGCATTCAATAGAAGTTGTGCCGGAAACTTCTAGAAAGGGAAAAGTCACATATCTCGTTATCTGATTAGATGATTACTTATACTGCTACTCTGTTTAATAGCGTTCCAGAATTTTTCAAAAGCTTAAGGCTATCTGAAATGCTATAATTACCTTAAATTTTCTGTACAAAAGTTAACGTTAGAGTAAAGCGTTGATGAGATACATCACTTTATTTCTAATAGTCTAGTTATTTTGAATTATGCTCAGTTGAGACAGTTATCAATATTTATACTACTTTGGTAGAGGTTTATGAATTCATATCAAGATTAGTGTATGTATCTTGAGTGCTGTTAGAGGTATGAGGGCGGTTATCACTTCCTGGTTGCCCAAACCGTGGAAGGGTTCTTCTGGAAACACCTGAAAAGGGAATTGGATTAGAGGTGGTCCTAGTAACCTGAGAGCGTGACCTCAGTGCCCAACGGACAACTGCTTAAGGTCGGTCACACACGACCTTTTTATGAATAATTTTTGTGTTAGCTCCGTAATTGTTGAGACCTTACCGCCGGAGACGGATATCCGTGGGATAAGGCGAGGCGTGGATTTTTAGGGTCGACCTTTTCTAACCCCACCCCTCCTTGTGGGAAAGCAGCATCGCTGTCATGCTGGTTGTCTGAAGGAAACACCTCACTGCCGTCACACCTCTGTACAGTCAGCAGTACGACTTCGCATTCGGACCTTGGGTTTGTTGCTTTTAGTCTTACCGCTCTTCAACCGACCTGTCTGACATGGTAGGACCTTGAGGAACAGTTGTTCCAGCCAGTATAGCTCTAATGGTTCATCACGATAGGCAAGCCCGACCACCACGTCAAGGTAGCAACAACGGTCGGGTGTGTATATATTCATCAGATTGGTAAACGTACCGAGATCGTCATTTATTTCACCCTTATTTCATATATGAAATGCATTATGAACAGTGAGTCTATCCCGGATGAATCCATTTAAGAAAGCTATCAGTGCAAATACAAGGAACTGAATTTATGTAAACTGATTTACCTTAGTAGAGGATTCATCATTAGTACGTTAATCTATAAAATTTACCTTAAGAATATAATACAATTCATATCTCATGAAAAGTAAGTTATTCTAATAATGATGGGTTAGAATGCAATTGTTTCATTTTCGAACTTTGTATTTTAAACTATGACTCATGCATCAAATAGATTTATGGTAGTATGCTGTATGCTACTTATGCTGAGATATAAGTAGTATGAAGTAGTAATCGATAGTGGAAAGCCTCTTCAGAAGAAGGTTGAACTGAATAGAATAGGAAGGGAAACAAAAAGCAATTAAAATAACAACAGAAGTGGTAGAACTATGAATTATGTAAAGGAAAACTGATAGAAGATGTGTAAATAACGAATTTAATGTATGATTTTTATATTTTATGAAGGCATTGTGTTAATTGGTTTACCTTCACCTGAGGTCTCGATCACTGTATTTCTCAGATATAGCATCTTGAATCAATGTCCATTCGAATCCAAATCATCTTTTGTTCTGAGTAGATTCAGAAAATGTAATATACGTTTACTTCATTCTCATCAACATGTCCAAAACAATTAACAGTCGATTTGGTCTATAAAAGCACATTATGAAAGATGAACGAATGTAAAGTGAAAGTCTAAGTTTTTCTTTTTAATATTTTCACTGAAGGATACATTTTCTTTTGTTTCTCTTTCTCTCTTCATACAATAGGCTGATCCTAAACGATTATCTGATCCAATACGTCTTATTGAATGGGTATGTAATCTACGTTGTGCTAGATGTCCAAGTGAACAAAATATGGAATTAATTTATTGTCATCAATTAAGTCAATCATTCTATCGAACAACACGTAGAATTGAAGCTGGTGAAGAATTATTAATTTGGTTTCGAAGACAAGATTTACAACCATTAGTTACAGAATACTTGAATAATTTATATATTTCCGAAGCATGGATAGGACATACAGTAAAAGCAACGGATTTATTACAGAAAGATTATGAACAATTTGTAAATCCACATAAATCTTTCAATACAGAATATTGTAAGTTGTATTATGATGGTAAGAAGTATTAATCTTTTTTTTAAGAAAAGGTTGATAAGTTAAATTTACTCATAAACAAAGATGAATGATGACAAAGAGTAGAATTCACGACGCGCATTTCGTCCTATTTGGGAATCGTCAGCTGAATGTACCTGCATCTCATAGATGATATGATTTGCAATGAGACGACCTATTCAAACATTGGAGCCATCTATTTACCATCTATTTAACTGTTGTTATTAAGCTGTTTGTGTTAGGGATGATGAAGAATATACCGATCATTATCATGTTAAGTCTAATGATGTCCTTGGACATGTCCTTGGGCATTCCCTATTAGCTATTATTTATTTCACTCGTTAAATATTGTACAGATGTTGTTTTCTATTTTTATGGTACGATGTGATCTGTTTGGTTGGTATATAAACAGAGTATGTTTGAAATATAACGATTCATAACTCAGAGGCTGTGACTTGCGTTCTAGACTCAACTGGCTGGGCTAGACAAGGAAGCGGGACCAATCGGGACTCTAGGTCGTCCTTACGTGTTTTACGTGTCACTGATTCGATCGATATAAACGCTGCGCTTCTAGCCGTGCAATCCACCCGTTACAACAGTTTGTTTTAGATTTAATCGTCCTGAATCACTATGAATGCTTACTTTTTACAGTTAAACAGTTTTATGTAAATGATTACAAATTGTTCAGATTCTAAGTAGTAGAAAACTCAAATGGAAGCACTTTGATTGAAGGTGAATGGTTGTTTAACTTCAAAAAGAAAAACATTTGTAAGGTATATTTATGGATATTAAGAGAAACTTGTTCCAATATGGTACTGAGAATTTATTCTTATTATTATTATTATTATAAGCTTTATTCAGTATTATATTTTTGGTACAACATAGAATTCTCAGCGTAAAGTATTTCAACAAGTTTCCGTTTCTTTCTTCTTGGTCGATCCTGGCGATAAATATTGAGTGATCGCCAGTTAGATGTTAGCAGTTCAGTAAATAAAAATCTGAATAATGTACATTCTTTCCGTTGTATATTGCCAGCAACCACATTGTCTCTTATTGAGTTTTTTGTAACTTTGACAACGAAAGGTTGTACACTTTTCAGAAGCGCAGCAGAATAGGTCATAAGATTAATAAAAATAATGATATATTAAAACAAACAAAAATAGATAACTTGTTGAAATATCTAGATGGCAGGAACAGGTAGTACAGATGCTCAAGCAGGCCACCCTTTATAGACAGTAAGAAAGGTGATCATATTGAATAAGATCATTATTAGTATTATTGTTATTAGTATTCAGGACCTGCTGGAAGCATGTTCTTGTTAAACTAACTTGTGTGTGTGTGTAGATTTGTAATTTCATTGAAGCTAGGATATTATGTAATCATCATTTGATATTATGGGAGGGAAATATTTTACTCTTTATATGATTAAAGTCCATTGCAGAACTCATAGAATTCTTCTCAATTATGTTCTATTGACCAAATGATTGAATAAACTTGTGAAGATGGATCGTTGGGTAAATGTTCTGTACCTAAAAGGTAGTGAGGTCATAGGTATGAACTGTTGATGTAACTGATACTAAGACAAAGTAGCTACAGAACATTATTTAGATGATAATAATAACAATTTGGTTGAGGTCACGAATCGATTAATGTTAGATCACCGTTTAAAATCTGGAAGTACTGGACGGGCGTTTTGTTCAAGTATGGGACTCTTCAGAAGTGCGCATCCACAATCCCACACAAAGGATTTAAACACAGGACCTCTCTCGTGTGAACACTTGACCTCTAGACCACTGAGCTGACATCCAGTCGTGTTAATGTTAAATGTCCACGCACGAGGCCAAAGTTGCTGAGTTCGAATCACTAGTGTAGTTTTGAGAAGTTCCATACTTGAATAGAAGGCCCATCCAGTACTCGACAATCTTCACAAATCTATACTGATAATAATAGTAATATTTTTTAAATCAAAGACGATAAATTCAACTTTTGCTTTTAACATTTAGGCAAATTTCAATGTTCCAGATGTCATGATGAATTCAATTACATTTATCCCTATATATCACATTGTTTATTTAAATGTCAAAAACAAACTATCATTCAAAGTATTCAATGGTTCAATCATCATAGATTCATAGAATCAAATGAGTTTCCTATTGAATTAACTAATAAATATACATATCAAAAAATATCGATTTATTATTACATAACAATATGAATACACCATTAAATCAGAACAAATTAGATCATCATGAGAAGAACACACTTGAAAATGATGATTATGATGTTGAAGATGATGATGATGATAATGGTGATGATGATGATAGTCAGTTAACTATTGAGACTAGATCCAATAAAATAGAGAATCAATTAAGGAAAGTGGGAAATATTGAGAAAATGAATGAATTAACATCTATGAAAAATTTCAATTCATTACATAGAAAATATTTACATAGAATTCAATCTAATCACAAAATTGTCAAACCTTTTAAAACATTAAAGGAAACTACTTATATAGATAATAGTAGTAATAATTTGTATACTAAAAAATCTAAATTAAAAACTACATTATTACCGTTAAAATCTCGTAATCCATTAGTGGAACAATTATTACAAACAATCATGTCACATAAAATAGATTCAAATGTTGAAAATAATTCATCCAATCTAATTTCGAATATGACATTATCATTAAAAAAGCCAATATCATCAATATCATCGACGACGATGGCAACTATGACACTGACAACAACAACAACAACATCACCAACATCACCGTTAATAAGTAGTTTAGCATTAGCACAAAATTGGTGTGCACGTTGTTTTATTACATTTCGTTTAACTAGTGATTTAGTACATCATATGCGTACATGTCATAATCAAGGTAGTAATATTCTAATGTAAAAGATCGTTTAGTATCACATCATAAAACAATGAATACAACTGATTTAATCAACAAGAGAAAACAATTAAGCAATGAGAACGATAATAATAATGAAATGGGTTTATTACACTCTAATGGGCAATCATCCATATCATCGTTGACAACGGTTAGAACATCGCCACAAATCACAATAACAACAGCGATGACAACGACGAAGACGACAACAACAACAACAGTACCATCTTATTGTTCAACATTAAACAAACCAATTTGTTCTTTATGTGGTGAACAATTTAAAGAAAAACATCATTTAACTAGACATATGCTATCACATACATAAAAAAATAAGTAGTTTATTAAAATTTGGTATCAATATTTTGTTACTTCAATATGATAGTTACTTGAATTATCACCATTTTCCATATTGATCTGTGAATACTAACAAGTTATTATTCTGATTAGTATTAGTGATGTACAAACATTGGACATGATGATTTATTTCTATTCCTATTCAGTTATTGCTTTCATAACATGATATTTAATATTAAGAAAGGAATTTAATTTCATTATATTCGTTTTGTAATTAGGAATAATTGTCATACTGTCTTTCTTGTATTCAGTGTTATTGAGGTAAATGAGAACACACAAATTGGGACAATCGAATGTATTTGAGTAAAACATTAAAGAATCAGTTGGTAAAATCTGTGAACCATACAGTGAATAATTCATTTTGTAAAACGTCAATCAATCGTCTCAGACTTCATTATTCTTTTGTTTCCACAGTAGTTATTCTTTGTTCTCGTTCTTCTTTCTTCGATCTTCTTAACCTTCTGTCTCACCAAGTATTTGATTTTCGACTGATGATACATACTACTTATGTCTGTTGACATTAGTAGCACACACTATACTATTGGAATTTCGCCTACCAAGTGAATTGATTTAGCTGTAAACTATTTAATTGATATGGTAGACAGTGATTGACTTAGATTTCTGGAATTCTGATGGGACCGATACCATTTAGGTGGTTCGAGTTTGTGTTATCAAGTATCACAGTACAAGGTATTGTCATTAGGCCAGTAAAGTCATAGCTAACATTTTTTTCAAAGATAATTTCAAAACGATTTCAGTGGTGTTTTGAAAACTTTCTATAAAAAGTTGTGAACAGGAGGGACTGGTAATTTCATAGTTATACTTACTTGCTTATGCCAGTTACCCGTCATGAAAGAGCATAGACCGCCCACCAGCACTCTCTATATAATCCTGTCCTCTGCAATCCTTTCCAGTTGTTTTCAGTTGCTATTCATCCTTTTGATGTCTACTTCCAATTCTAGACTCAGTGTGTTCTTTGGCCTTCCTCTTCTCCGTTTCACTTCAGGATTCCGAATTGGGGCTTGCTTCGTAATACACTTAGGTGGTTCTCGCAATGTATATTCTATCCACTTCCGCCATCTTTTCCTAGTTTCCTCCTTGACTGGAAGTTGGTTAGTTCTCTCCCACAGTAAGCTGTTGTTAATAGTATCTGACCAACGAATAATGAGTATCTTACGTGGAAAATTGTTTATAAATACTTATACTTCTTTGATGATGGTTGTAGTAGTTCTACAAGTTTGAGCTCCATACAGTAGAACTGTCTTGACATTCTCATTAAAGATTTTGACTTTGATACTGATTGACAGTTTTTTTGAGTTCCATATGTTCTTCAACTGTAGGGATGTAGACTTTGCTTTGCCAATCCTTTCCTTTACGTCTGCGTTGGATCCTACGTGTTTATCAATGATTTTGTTCAGATATGTGAAGGTTTCCACATCTTCCAGAGCTTTTCCATCAATTGTAGCCGCGACTGTTTTCTCCGCCTGTAGCTCTTCTAGAGTCACTACCAGTCTCAAGCCCGGGTAAAGGAGGAGGGTTGGGCATGTGATCTGCAACCTCATCCAGTAGAAAAAATCTTGCTAAAAAGACGGCAACCAGATTTCATAGCTATATGAGGAAACAATACTTTTTATGAGAGGAATGCGATGATCTATTTTTAACTCCAGCAGTGTTAAGCAACATTCCTATATATAACTTGAAAAGACTGATATTAATTAGTCATTTATAGCTGTTATCTGACAAGACCTTTACTTCAGATTTTAATTTGTAAAGATCTGTCTCAATTTCAATGGACGGAAGATCGGTTGTTGCTTTCCTTCTGCATTCCGAAAGTTCCTTAGTGGATAGTTATACCGTGAGCAGCTACAGTGAGAGTGAGCATTTCGTGTTTGAATAGCAATAGATGGTTCTGGTTTTAGCAGGCACAATTATGCGTTATGTTAGGTTTCTATACTACCATGGCACGATGAGAAGAAAATTGATAAGATGAACAATAAAGCGGTTTAAATAATGTAGTGGCAATAATAATGAGAGGTGAACATCTAACACACACTCCAGGTATTGAAAAATGAAATAGTGCTAGTAATTTTATTGAAATCATGAACTCATCTAAGTTAAAACACCATTGAAAACTCGGAGGCATTGTGCTCACTAGTGACCAGATTCGATAGGACATTTTTGGGTTTCCAATGAGAAGCCGTGACCAATCGACCTAACCCATGTCGGATATGAGGCAGTTAACCAACGGGGACAATTGAGGATCGTCGCGCAATGTCGTAGGTTGATTAAAGTTAGACACTAACACCTTTGGATGCCCGCTCAGTGTTCTAGAGGTTAGGCGTTCGCGTGCACGACCGAAGATTCTAGGTCCGGTTCCCGCGTGCAGGATCGTGGTGCACACTTTTGAAGAGTCTTATATTAGTCGTTACCATCGCACAGATGAACCATATTTGGTACTAGTTTCCCTTATATGTTGCTTTTTAGTTCATTTAGAGCATAGACCTAAACGAGCTAATAAACAGTATGTTGCAAGACAAGTCTCTGTGACAGCATTAAAGATTAAAAGCTTGAAAGTTTCTATAATTATCAAACACCATGATTGTTATAGAGCGGATCGTGTAATGACGTTCTCTTTTCTACTGTATGACTATGGTACATGAGCTTTAAAAGTAGAGAGATACTAAAGTTGCTATCAGTCAGTCAAAAATTTGATTTACATGATTCTCAAATGGTTACCTTATAAAGTCATATTGAACCTTCAGTAAGCGTAGGGAAGTATCGAGAGAACTATGATATTGTTAATGAAAGTTTTTGTAACTGGGTAAAGGACCCAAATGTATACTTATTGATAGTGGACCAATTAGACATCTGGCAAATTATAAATCCACACACTCGACCAAGATATACCTTCCTTTTCTAACGAATAAGACATTTCATTGATTTAAGAATATAATTTAAATTTCCGAGGATTAAATATGGATGAATCTACAGTTATCTGTCGATTCAGCTGGAAAATACAAAGTTTCCTTGTCACTCAAGTACTTGGTTGTTGTCGTGAATATTAAGCTTATCATAATCAGGCACTAACCGATACAACACACTTTTCTTCGAATCATTGTAGTTTCATAGTGAGAATGGTTCCACTTAAGATAATAAAAATCTTGACAAACATATCTGCATTAAAATACTACGTAAATGTGTGTTTTATCACGTTTCAGCAATAAATTATTAATTTTCTTCTCTATATAGATAAAGGTGGTCTGATTGAACATTATTAAAATTCATGTTACTATATGAATGATATATTTGTCTTTTGCATTATTTAAGCGTTACATTTGTTGTTTACAGCACTTAAAATAAGACTTGTTCATATTGTGGTGTATGCTACTGATGTCGACAGTTATAAGTAGTATGAGTCACAAATCGAAAGTCAAATAACTGACCGCAGAAGATTAAGAAGATCGAAGAAAGGAGAACGAGAACAAAGAATAACTGCTGTGGAAACGAAAGAACAATGAAGTCTGAGACGATTGATTTACATTTTACAAATGAAGTATTTACTGTATGATTCTCAGATTTTACTAAGTAATTCTATAATTTTACAATCAAATACATTCTATTGATCCCCACTTTTGTTCTCGTTCACTACAACATAACTTCAATTACTTATTATTCTAGCTATCCAGAGTTTAACAAAATGTCGAAGATATTGAAAATCAGATTACTACAGTTATTTGGTTAAAAAATCATATCTCGTAGAAACAATTCATTTGAGACAAAACATCCGTTTTTCCATTAGAGCGAGTTACTTGGAATACCATTTCGAAAATTTACTTGTGTGTATTGAGTTCGACCGATGCAGACAGAAGCTTCTACTACACTGATTGTCTTCACCAGCATTTGTTAGGGTGTATTGGGATTGAAGAGCTAACTGATCTGTGAAGTCTAAATCGTCTAGTAACATCTAAGCTTTTCATGGTGGAAGTGTTGATAATCCAGTCAACCATCGGAAGATATCGTTTCGGAGATTTACTTTTCCACACTTAGAAGACCAATTGGTCAATTGATGATATATTTAAGACTTTCAACTCTTCATTATTAACTTGACTGTATATATCTTTTGGTGGGTTTGGATTAAAAACCGAGTACTTGTTTTCATATTCATCTTTCTTATGGAGAAGAAGAAGAAGAAGAGTAAATTTGTAGCGTGGTGTCGAGTCGGAATTGACTATGAACACTGCTACCAAGAAACACGTGCCAGATAAATCAGAAGGCGAGGGTTGAACGTAACCAGATAAATCCATAAAATCCCCGAGAAGCCAAATATCAGAAGACAATGAATGGACCAAATCGAGATATATTCGCTGGCGATCTCGTGGCATCGAAAGGATACCGAGATCGTGCCAGGATACAAGCTTGGTTACAGAACGTAACCGTATTCGCGTGAAGTCACAATCAAAAGTGTAAGAATCAGAATGGAAGCACAATATAGCTGTCATTAGCACAGTCAAACAAAAGCACATTAAAACAAACACTGGTACAGTTGGTTATAATAATAATTGTTTCTAGTAAACCAGTCGTGTTCTCGTGATAAATGTGAGTCACTACAAATTAATGAAAGTTTTATTGAAAGTGATTGTAAAATCTTTAAAAAAATAATGAGGATATTTTAGATAGGATACTTTGATTTTTAAACTGAGCATGTACTTGAATGTGCTATCGATAGTGGAGATTACGATCATTTTTTTAATCTTACACATTTTTCTTTATCATGAGTATCACTATCATAAAAATGAGACAAAGCAGGAATTTAAGTTATTTCGCTTTATTGATTGAGATCATGAACCGATTGATGTTAGACCATCATTGAAAACCTGGAAGCACTGGATGGCTGTTTCTTCCTATTGCGCGACTCCTCATCAGTGCACATCTATGATCCCACCTCACGGAATGCGTGTCAGGTACAGACAGGTATCTACCTCAGTACAATGGAATAGTTGATGTTAGACATAAACACCGTTGGATGCCGGTCGGCTTAGTGGTCTAAGGGTTGGGCGTTCGCACGCGGGACTGAGGGTTGTGGGTTCAAATCTCGCATTTTGGATCGTGTGTGAGCACTATTGTGGAGTCTCATACCGAAACGAAACAGCCATCCATCGCTTCCAGGTTTTCACTGATAGTCTATCAATAATCGATTCATGATATGAATACTTTCTAATGCTTTTAAACCTAAATTGTCTATCACTATATATGTAAACTGAAATCTTGCAACAATGTAAACTGCAATACTCATTAGTAGATGCCACCTACTAAATATAATGCCTCAAACAAATTTTCATCAAAAAGATATACTACTTACAAAGTATATTTATTAGTATGTAAATTATAAATTAAATTTGTTCACCAAAAATTATAAAACAAGTATCCATTGTAATAATACAATGGAGAAATTACATTTATTATTGTTGTTATTATTATTATTATTATTATTATTATTATTATTATTATTATTCAATCAATGATCAGAATTCTATTGATTTTATCTGATTAATAATTGTTTGTTAATGTTTTATTTAACCATTCTTGAACATTTAATTGTCCTAAATATTTTCGATTATAACGTTTAAATTTATGATCCTGTTTTAAATGAATCAACCGTTGATTGAGATCAAGTGAAGGATCTACAATGAATTTATCATTTTTATTTATCATAGATTGATGATCTATTTGTTTTTGAGATGTATATGATTCTAATTTATAATGATTCAATTTAGCTGATGAATTATTTACTTGATTGTTTATATCATTTGAAAGTAAACGATGAATAGGTAAGTATGATTTAGCATGTCGTTTGATACGTTTATGTCGGTGTTTTGATTGTCTTTTATGTGATTGTTGATTGAATTGTATTCGATGTTGTATATTTGAACATTGAATATTATTATTTGTATCATTATTCATAAATGTTTGCTCTAATGATGTCCTGTACTCATCGTTATGATTACATCGATGAGTTTTAGATAAATGATTTTGAATTATTCTTTCATGTTTAGTTTGTGGTTGACTTGATGAACGATGATAATAGGGATGATTGTAGGTTCTATGTCTGAAAAAAAGAGTGAATAAATCAAGATTGACAATTGTTTAGCTCATGGAGATTGGTTAATTCATTTAAATTATTAACAATCATATACTTAATAATGACTAATTTTAAGAGGTAACCGTTAGAGTTGTTTTGAGAAGCCATGATCAGTGAAGTCTAACTATTGTCGAATGTGAAGTATATACATGCTGATAACAATGAGTGATGGTTATTCAATACGAGGAATTGATTGAAGTTAGAGATGATAACCAGAAAATACTGAGTGAATGATCTTAAGGTCAGACTCCTACTTCAAGAAGGTCCTCTCTTCAATCCCCGGTAAGATCATGAATTCTCAATACTGAGAGGTTTTATACTAGGACGAAAAGTCTGTACAGTGCTGCCCAGTTTTAAATGGTAAATGATTGATATTAACCGTGAGTTTAGGTCAGTTGGAAAATAGTTTATATTCCTGACCAGGATTATCCGAAGAATAAATGAGTGGGAGATAGGAAACCGAATATTTCTCCTTAGTGTGAAACTTCGTAAATGATATCTTTTATCTGTTGATGACTGTGTTTTTCCTAAACCGGAACAGAACACGTGTTTAGTACTCACTATTTTTCAATGATTTTCTATTTGATGTTGGCCCATAATGAAGCTTATCGTCGAAATTAAAAGTTAACTCAGGATTTTACTTCAAAAGGATTGTTCATTGCTCTACAGATACTAGATATTCTATCAATACTGTCACAGTTTTCTAAATACATTACACTGTTCTTGGTTTTGGCAAACAAGAGATATCATTAAAATAATAAACAGAATTTGTGATTCATTAAATGGTTACTAAGTTTTGTTAACATAATTTTCATTTCAAGTAAAGATGGATTACTGACTAGCAGTGGAATCCAGGACGCGCGTTAAGTTTTAGTTGGGACAGGTCAGTTGGATGTACTTGCATATCAGAGTTGATATTCCCTCTGGGACTCGAACCCAGTAACGTTCGCTTCAAACACTATCACGTTATCCACTTAGCTACTGAGTCCTGATATCTACTTGCTTGTGCAATGGGGTGAGGTTTAAATTCACTTGGTATTGTTCACTATAATCTTCCCATATGTACATATATACAAATAACAGATTGATCAATTTCAGTCCTAAACATCAATGGGAAGATTAAAGTAACTAATACCAAATGATTTTCATTTGTTTATAACTAATAACAAGTCTGATCGATAGTTGATTTCTATAACTAGTCAGCTATCATTAACATACTGCCCAGTGAATTAGCTCAAGTCGACTTATCAAATCAACATAACAGGTTAACTAATGAATGATTCCAAAAAAAATCATAGTACCATTCATAGTAAGAAAGACTAAATACTGAGAAACATGAATCTGAACGCAAGAAGCAACACTGAACCTTAAAATCTACAAAATGATAATGTGTGAATGCATATGTACCACTGAAATTTATTCTGAGCTATATAATCTATGATCTTTAATCACTAATCGTGCTGATCCCTAGCAACTAGCTATTGTAGTTTGGAATTTTATGTATGTAGCTTGAATTTAGACAAAATTAAATATTTGATTTGGTGACCGATATATATGCAAGAATTATAATTTATTGTTTGACTAGTTTTTTTTCGATGTGAATTGTATATTGGTAGAGATAGTGTTAATCAAATTATAAGGACATATTCCAGATCATCCTTTCTGATGATTATCAATGTATGAGCCATACAGTGAGTATCCAAAATCCCTGGTACGGCCAAGAGTGGGGAGAGTTAGCTATCCCACTTTAAATGCCCTCACATGACTACGCGTATACAACCACTAGCAGGGAATTCCTGCTAACTACTTTCTCGCACCAGGGGTGTTGTTTACGAAATTGAGAGGACAAAAAGTAAATATTCGGCACTTTAAACAGGTTGGTGGAAACAAAGGATCTACCTAGGGGAGTTGAAAAACCTGTTTTCAAACCAATGATGTACATGGGCTCTAGGATTCTGAGGTAACAAATGGAGTATGAACCTACTGTTGGTCACCGACTACCATGGGACTGCATCTCCTGACGTTGTTCCACTGCTTTTCGGATTAGACCTTCAGATCGAAAGCTCCGAGTGTGGCCCACTCATTGAACCACCTGTTTCGGTATGGGTACTCAGACAGTATCACAGCCCACATGCAAATCAAGTGACTTATGTGATACATACGTATTCAGTGCCCCTTTGTACCAATATTTAGACCGATATTATATTATCAGAATGGGTTTTGTGGAGATTTTAGAAATTTCTTTGATTGAAATCATGAGTCAATTGAAGCTAGATCATCATGGAAAACCTGGAAACACTGGACGACCGTTTCGTCCTAGTATGGGACTCCTCAGTAGTGCGCATCGACGATCCCGCACCTCGTGAGATTCGAATCCAGGACTTATCAGTCTCGCGCCAGGCGCTTAACTAACTAGACCACTGAGCCGGCATCCAATGGTGTTAATGTCTAACCTCAACCAATCCACGAAATTTCGCAACCATCTCCCATTGTACTAAGGTAGACACCTGTTTCTACGCGACACGGATTAGTTCCACTGGTCACGGCTTCTCACCAGAACTCCGAGAATTTTCTCACGAAGCTAGTCACTAGTGAGCACATGGTAATTATCAAAACGTTGGAGAAGTAGTTACTTATTAGTTATTTACGCTTTGATTAGCTTTTATTTATAAGTGAATTAAATCCATAATAAACTGTTTCTAGGGTGAAAAACTACAATATGAGTGTAAAAATAGGCTTTCAATAAGGAAAAAACACTTCTTGATAATGTGTCAACCATCTATGTAATTGACTTTGCTATAAATAAAAAAGATAACGCAAAGAATAATCGGGAACCATTTTACACAAATTCACTCTAATAAGTACTGTATAAAATATCTCTCTCAGTGGTCTAGTTAGTTAAGCGTCTGGCACGAGACTGATAGGTCCTGGATTCGAATCTCACGGAGTGCGCGATCATGGATGCGCACTGCCAAGGAACAGTCCCATACTAGGACGAAACGGTCGTCCAGTGCTTACAGGTTTTCCATGGTGATCTAGCTTCAGTCGACTCATGATTTCATTCAGTGCAATATTATATTACTTATTATGTATTCACTATTTAATTAATGATACTTTTTTTGTAGTAAATAGATTAACTTGGAGAAGACGAACAGTGTGGCAGCAGCCTCAGCAGCAATAGGTCTCAATATACACAAAGGGAAAAGCAGGATTCTCCGATACAACACAGAATGCACCAATCCAATCACAATTGACGGAGAAGATTTGGAAGATGTAAAAACCTTTACATATTTAGGCAGCATCATTGATGAACATGGTGGATCTGATGCAAATGTGAAGGCGCGGATCGGTAAAGCAAGAGCAGCATATTTACAACTGAAGAACATCTGGAACTCAAAGCAACTGTCTGTCAACCAACACCAAGGTCAGGACTTTCAATACAAATGTCAACACAGTTCTACTGTATGGGGCAGAAACCTAGAGAACTACGAAAGCCATCATCCACAAAATACAGGTGTTTATTAACAATTGTCTACGCAAAATACTTCAGATCCATTGGCCGGACACTATTAGCAACAACGTACTGTGGGAGAGAACAAACCAGATCCCAGCGGAGGAAGAAATCAGGAAGAATTGCTGGAAGTGGATAGGACACACATTGAGGAAAGCACCCAACTGCGTCACAAGACAGGCCCTCACATGCGATCCTCAAGACCAAAGGAAAAGAGGAAGACCAAAGAACACATTACGCTGAGAAATGGAGATAGACATAAGAAAAATGAACAAGAATTGGATGGAACTAGAAAAGAAGGCCCAGGACAGAGTGGGTTGGAGAATGTTGGTCAGCGGCCTATGCTCCATTAGGAGTAACAGGCGTAAGTAAGTAAGTAAATAGATTAACTTACCTTAAATTATCATCTTTTGAAATATTTCGTTTATTTCTTGAATAATAATGTACTTGATTCCATAATGGAATAAACCATTGGTTACAATGACTACAACATAACATAGTTGAAGTTGAATTGTCATTTACAGCTTTATTATTATTATTATTATTATTATTATTATTATTATTATTACATTGTCCATTCAAATATCTTTGTTTCATATAGCCTTTATTCATTTTAAATAAACACTGTTGACAATGTAACATAGTAGTAGAATTAGTTTGATCTAATGAATTCATCATTATTTTCGATCGATATTTACATTGATCACGATCGTGATCATGATCGTGATCATAATTATGAATATGATCAATATTTTTTGAAATTTGTCTTGAACAATAATCATAATTATTAACTTGTATAGGATCATCATTATCATAGTCATCATGATGATGATGATTAGGTAATATAGAATAACTATTTCGTTTATATTTAATATGATTATGATAATAAAGAGAATGATGATGATTATGATGATGATGATAGAAACTATTTGAATTCTTATGAAGTTTATATTTTTCTTTCAATTTTTGATCATAAATAGTTTGATCAGTGATTGTAAATTGATTATTATTATTATTATAGAAATAGGGTAGAATTGAATCTTTAGAATTATGATCAATTAAATGTTGACAAATAGAACAAATTATTGATTTTTGATTGATATGATCTTTAGATTGTGATAAGAAATGGTTTTGAGTATAATTTTGTTGTTGTTGTTGTTGTAATCGTTTATGATCTTGATCTATTTGATCTAATTTATGAATATTAAATGAATCTATTAATGAATCTATGGAATTATTATTATTATTATTATTATTCCATAATGGAGTTTTATCAATTTCTGTACCCAGTGTAGCAAGGATATGTGTTTTTTTTAATTTTAATTGATGAGTTGTTTCATTGGAAAGAGTTTTGTTTTGATCATTTAGATTGATAGAATTAAATGTTGATTGATTTGATAATTGATTTGGATTCCATTTAATACATAAATGCCATGATTGTTGTTCATCATTATTGTTCATCTCTTTATATTTAGCTTGTTTAGTTAGATCATTTGAAGTATAACTAGCCAATTTGATATGTTGATGTATTTGTTTACTGGTTTGATGTGATTTTGATTTATTTTCATGAATATTTCTATTATTAGTAGTACTATTATCATAGTGAGTTTGACCTAATTTGTCATATTCTGATACTTTTTTAATGAAACCTTTTGAACCATTGTGTTTTTTTCGTAGACGAGCTGCTACAACAGCAAAAACTGAATGTACTAATGCAGTGTCATCCTAAATTGATGAATATAAATAAAAAATGATATATGAACCTTCAACATATTTATTATACTCAGATTAACTACTGAATAATTATATAAGTAGTTAAACTATAAATACAGATATTTCGTAACTATGGTATGGTATGGTATAGGCCATTGAGTTGGCAACCAATGGTGTTAATGTCTAACTTCAACCAATCCACGAAGTTGCGCCAACGTACACCATTGTCTTCAGTGAGTTGATATCTCACAACAGACCTGGTCAACTCCACTGGTAACGGCTTCTCACTAGAACTCCAGGAGTACCTCTTGAAGTCAGTCACTAGTGAGCAGATGATTATTATCAGAAGGGGTTTGTGGAGATTTTAGAAATTTCACTGAATAAAATCATGATTCAATTGAAGCTAGACCAGCATGGAAAACCTGGAAGCACTGCACGGCCGTTTCATTCTAGTATGGGACTCCTCAGCTGACTGATAGGTCCTGGGTTCGAACCTCGCAGAGTGCGGGATCGTGGATGCGCACTATTCAGGAGTCCCTTACTAGGAAGAAACAGCCATCCAGTGCTCCCGGGTCTTCCATGGTGGTCTAGCTTCAATCGACCCATGATTCCAATCAATGAAATTTCTAAAATCTCCACAAAACCCTTTTGAAAAAGATAATAGGCACACAAAACTTGAAAGAATCGTTCTTATGTGGATTATTGAAATATTATTAGAGTTTTTCAGTTGTTTTGAGAGGTATATTTCTTAGTTCATTTTCTAGCTTAACAATTCACTGACAACAAAAGTTCAGTCGTAATTTTAGAAGTTGTAAACACCCTAAGTGATTAATAGATGAAAATGTATGAATCTTCTGTACTTCAATTTATTAACTCAATACTAGATTATGAATTGTTGATTAATTAATGATAAGTATCAAATCTAGATGACGTATGGCTCTTCTAAAGGCTTCTAAATAACCAAACTAATAAAATCCGGTATTATTCAATGTAATATATATTGGAGGATCTGATGTAGATGTAAAGGGGAGGATTGGCAAAGTAAAGGCTTCATTCCTACAATTGAACAACATATGGAACTCAAAGCAACTGTTAACGAATATCAAAGTCACAATCTTTAATGCGAACATTAAGGCAGTTAAGACAGTTACTGTATGGAGCTGAAAATCCAAGAACTATCATAATCATCATTAAATAAGTACAAGTATTTCTGAACAATTGTCTACACAAGATACTCATTATCCATTGATTGAATACCATCAGCAATAACCTTTTATGAGAGACTCTCTATGTAATGCAGGAAATATGTTTTAAATCGAGTCACATTGATTGTAACTTGGGGATGTGAGGAATTAACATTATTATTTTGTAGGGAAGGATAAAGTCAGAAAAGTTAAAGTCAGGATCCAAACATTGAGTCTCCAAAAAAAAGGAGGTAATATGATGGAAAGAAAGTCAATTTTCGATTGATTTACTCATTATGAGTCTTGTTCAAAATTACATCCATTTTGATTCAACGTGGGGATCATTCACTGTATTCGGTTTCCCCGTATGATATTTTATTCTGTACAATATACTGTATTCTTGTATTCAATGGACATGAACTATGCTCAGTATGTGATTTGTTATAACTGTAATGTGATTTCACCAAAGTGTGTGTAAAATCAATATATGAATGTGTTTTTGACTAGGGTCGTCGTTGTCGTCGTCATGTCTTGGAGGTTAATCAAGCTTCATTTTTACTAGTCTTTGTGTTCTTATTTTCGTATCGTGTGGATTTGCAAAAACCCCTCGTTTCGAGTATAAGTGATAAACATTTCTGACAGAACAATCAACGACGACCAGACATAATAAGTGACGTTTAAACCACAAAATTTATCATCCACAAAACCCCATTCTGATACAAATTATATTTATTATGGATACGGTGACACATGGTGTAGCGAAGGAGAATACAGGTGAGGACAACCGAATTATATTGAGCACAACATTACAAAGTTACTTCGTAAAATAGAGAAACCATACTGTAATACTTAATTTGCAAAATGTTCAATAATTGTTTCGAACTTCATTGTTCTTGAGTTTCCATAATTATTGCTTTCTATTCCCGATCTTCCTTTCTTGATCTTCCCAATCTTCTGCTGCCAGACATTACATTCCTGACTCGCGTCATGTGCTACTTATATCAATATAAGTAGCACGCACCACAATGGTAGCGCCATTTCGTGAATTGGTTGAAGTTAGACATTAACACCGTTAAATGCTGGCTCAGTGTTCCACAGCTTAAGCGTTCACGTACCAGACCGAATTCCCTGGGTCCGGATCACGCGAGGCGGGTCTCGGAGGGTCTCATATTACAACAAGCCAGTCATTCAGTGCTTCTAGATAGCTTCCATGACAGCTTAGCTTATTATACACAATCAATATTAAACAATCTTATACATTATAATCGATGATCCAGTCAGTAACTAACTAACTAACTAACCTCATTTAAATTTTGTTCATTTTCAAAATCATAAAATGTAAATGACCAATGTTTTCGATATTGATATTTTGACCAATGATTTAATGAATTAATAAAACATAAATTCGATGAAGATGATAATGATAATGACGATGATGGTGATGATGGTGATGATGACGACGACGATGATGATGGCGATATTGATTTCATTGATTGTTGATAAATAAGTGAATGAGATCGATGTTTCGTTTTATTGATTTTTTCAATCTATTTAATTTAGATCGATGATGATAATCATTTTTTGGTTCAATATTTTGATCCATTAATGTTTGACCACTATTTGAACGACTTGTATTAAAATGAATATTGGATGTGTATGGTTTGTTTAAAGAATAATTATTGATTAATGAATTAATAGTAGTAGTAGTAGTAGTAGTTGTTGTTGTTGTTGTTGTTGTTGCTATGGGATTGTTTTGTAGATTTTCATTGTTTATTAATATTACGTCATTATTACCTGAAGTATGAGTGACTGGAGTTCGATATGTTCCTTTTTGAGACTATAAAATGTAAATAAACAGAATATATAGTATATAAATAAAAAATTTCAATGGTTGAGATCATGAGTCAACTGAAGCTAGACCACCATGGAAAACAAGGAAGCAGTGGACGGCTGTTTCGTCCTAGTATGGGACTCCTCAATAGTGCGCATACACGATCCCGCCCCCCGCGAGATTCGAAACCGCAGTTTTGGTGAGAAGCCGTGACCAGAGGAACTAATCCGTGTTGGGTAGAAACACGTGTCTACCTCAGTACAATAGAAGATGGTTGCGCAATTTCGTGGATTGGCTGAATTTAGACATTAACACCGTTGGATGCCGGCTCAGTGGTCTAGTTAGTTAAGCGCCTGGCGCGAGACTGATAAGTCCTGGATTCGAATCTCACGCGGTGCGCTGTCGTGGATGCGCACTACTGAGGAGTCCCATACTAGGACGAAACGGCCATCCAGTGCTTCCAGGTTTTCCATGGTGGCCTATCTTCAACTGACTCATTATTTCAATCAAAAACTTAACAATCTCCACAACCCCTAAACTGATAAAGATATAATTTGTCAGCTGATGAGCAATTCTGTGAGCAACTGTATAACGACATGATCGTCTAAATGTTAACATTGATACATCACGATTAAAAAGCTCGAAAAAATTTAATCCTTTACTGAGTCACAAGTACAAGTTGATGATAGTATGGTGTGTGCTACTGATGTCGACAGTTATAAGTAGTATGAGTCATCAATCGAAAGTCAAGTCTCTGACTGCAGAAGATTAAGAAGATCGAAGAAAGGGGAATGAGAACAAAGAATAACTTCTGTGGAAACGAAAGAACAATGAAGTCTGAGACGAGTGATTGACATTTTACAAATGAAGTATTTACTGTATGAATCTCAGATTTTACTAAGTAATTCTATAATTTTACAATCAAATACATTCTATTGATCACCATTTGTGTTCTCGTTCACTACAACATAACTTCAATTACTTATTATTCTAGCTATCTAGAGTTTAACAAAATGTCGAAGATATTGAAAATCAGATTACTACAGCCATTTGGTTAACAAATCATATCTCGTAGAAACAATTCATTTTGGAATATGAACTCAAAGAACGATTGAAGGCTTGAATTTGTATTACAGTAGTAAAATATTATGGATATTTTCTTGGTCAAACATAATTTTACAATTAACAAATCAATGAGTTTCGACTTCATCGGTTTTACCAATAGAGCGAGTTACTTGGAATACCATTTCGAAAATTTACTTATGTGTGTTGAGTTCGACCGATGCAGACAGAAGCTTCTACTACGCTGATTGTCTTCACCAGCATTTGTTAGGGTGTATGAGATAGAAGAGCTAGCTGATCTGTGAAGTCTAAATCGTCTAGTAGCATCCAAGCTTTTCATGGTGGAAGTGTTGATAATCCAGTCAACCATCAAAAGGTAGAGGAAGGGCGGGAGTAATCAACCTTATCTGACTCTAGTCCTCAATTGGAATACGTCTGTCAGCTTTCCTCCATACATCACTATGCATTGATAAAACTCTAATACCAATTTTCCAAAATGTTCAGTAATTGTCTCATACTTCGTTTTTTCTTCATTTCCTTACCAGATACTTTGTATTTCCATTCTTCCCTTCTTGATCTTCTCAATCTACTTCTATCAGATATCCTATACCTAACTCATATTTACATACTACTTATATCGATATAAGTAGTACACTCATATACACCAATAATATAACTTACATCATTCAATTTTATACAATCAGTTATACATTCATTGAATAGATGATTATGATTATGATCATGTTTATGATTATTTTCTGTTATTTTTACATTAGGGAATAATAATGTCCAATTTGTTTGTGTTGTTGTCAAGGCTAATTCTTGTTGATCATGGAAAGGATCATTTTTTAAGGTTTGTTTATTTTGTTTATTTAATCTTTTATGAAAATCAATTAATAAATGCAAATTATTCATTTTATTTTTATCTACATCATCATTCAATATCAAATTAGAATGATTGTTTATCAAGAGATTTGGATTAATAATTTGTTTTACTGAACCTGATGGTGATGTTGATGATGATGATGAGGAGGAGAAAGAGGAGGAGGATGGCAATGATGATAGCGATGGTAATTGTATTGTTGAAGATGTTTCTAACTTTTGGTGTGCTATTTGTGATGGTGGATGTAACAATATTGGTAATGATGAAGAATTAAATCGATCTTTTCTAGCTTCTTCATCTACAGTTAATCTACTAGTTTCTGTATTAGTATTATGAGTGGTAGTAGTAGTGGTAGTCAACGTCGTCGTCGACGTCATCGTCATCGTTGTCGTTGTCGTCGTCGTCGTAGTAGTAGTAGTATTACTGACTATTGTCTTATTTGAAATCTTTAATTGATCCATAGAATTATTAAATTCACTTAATGGTAAATATGTAATATCAGTACCAAATTCACCATCTTCATAATATGAATTATCATTTAGATCAGCTTTTATACTTTCATCATAACTATGTAAACGTATATGATTGAATTGATTTTTTCGTTTATTTCTTTTTTCATTACGTTTTGATCTTTTATTATAATTCATTATTGAATTACGATTTGGTATGGATTTTGCCCGATTTAGTTTGTGATTATTATTTCTATATGATAATTCCTTAGAATCTGCTAATAATGGTGTTGTTATTAGATTATCACGACTCATATTGCAATTTATACTACTTATATGAGTATTAGTAGTAGCAGTATTATTATTATTAGTAGTAGTATTGATAGGGAAAGAATTATCTACAAATGTAGAATTCCATAACCAATTTGGAGATATTGAATTGTAATAATCTTTTCTTTCATCAAAACGTAATAAAATTAACATTGAATCAATAGCTTTTCTTAACATTAGTAGTATATAATAAATATCCACATATTGGTTTATGTTTACTGTAAAACTGCCAATGATTTTCTAATATCTACAAAACAGTAAAAATAGGAAATGATTAGTAAAGAGTTATGGAGATTATTGAGTTATGATTGAGATTAAACACTGGATGGCCGTTTTGACCTAGTATGGGACTTCACAGCAGTGCGTACCTACAATCCTAGAGTGCGAGACTCGAACTCAGAACCTTCAGTCTTGTATGCGAACGCTTAACCTGTAGATCATTGAGCGAATAATAAAAATATCATAACATCTATTAAGCGTTCAATACATTTCAGTTAAATTTTACAGATTTCCATCATTTGAACTAAATATAAACTTCTATAGGAAAGAAAGAGATTGAATATTTTATATTGCGTAATCATTAATGCTATTCCTAGATCAGATCAAGTAGACTAGCTTAGTTAACTAAAATTGTATGGAAATGAATATAGTACTATATTCGATCAGTAGTTGCGGTTGATCCATTAAACATAAATTATTAAGTAAATACTTGTTGCTAGGTGCTTCATTATTGTCTACTCATGATAAACACAAGGTTTATATAAAACTAGTATCATAACTACAATAGGATAGTATCTTTCCAACACCTAATTATTATTAGTAAACTGATGAATGATACACACATACAAGCACACACAAAAACATATTTCAGTGTGAAAATCAAACTAAATGATTAGTAAATACCTCAAGTCATATTAGATTAATTTCATCGATTTCCAGGAGAAAAAACAGTCAATCGTTCCAGATTATTCACTTAATAATCCTTTCATTGTCTGAATAACTACTTATATATCACGTGTTTTATATAGTGTGGTGTGTGCTACTTATATCGACATCATTAGTATATAACGATAGTCAGAAATAGAATATCTAATAGCAGAAGATCGAGAAGGAAAGAACGGGAACAGGAAGTAAGTTTAGTAGGTCAGTTATTTAATCTTCATTTAGATCGAACGATGTTGTCATAAGGGCTCTCCACTTTAGTGGCCCGAGATCTGGCTCCAAGGTGATTGTATTGATGATTGGTGTTGAATCATATGTGTCGCCTATTCTCGTATATAATCATTGTTTTAAACCGCGTTAGTCAATAATGGAATTAAATAAGTCGAATAATCAGAATGGACTTGTGAATACATATACTTTGTACATGAAGCGGATGGAATAGAGAAGAGAAAGGACTCAGAGTGGAGATGGCTGGCAAGCCAACTCCCCTTTAATCAAGCGGTAATCAATATTTATAGTTACAATAAAGTAAGTTACAGATATGTGATGAGTAATGGGATAAGAAGTGTACACATACCTACGCGCTCATATACAAACAGTCAAGATTGATAAGCGAATAAATAACTAGATCAGAATGTGACTCAAGTAGATTGAATAGAATAGGCTCTCCGAATGTTAGAATAAGGTATATGGGTTTAACATAATAACCGACACTACAAATTAGTATGAAAATGTTGGAACATTAATCTTTAAGACGATTGATTGATATTTGCAAAAGGAATAACTCAAGTTCCCGACAATTGATTGACATTTTATTAATTAAGTATTCACTGTATGGTTCTCAGATTTTACTAAGATGTTTTGTAATTTTGTTTTCAAACACATTCGATTGTTCCTATTTGTGTTCTCGTTCATTACAATACTAATAGAGAAGTGGTCATGCTCTATTTGTTTTTCCTTTTCGGTATAATTTGATTAGTGGAGCATACTTCTATTTACTATTCATCATAGTTTACAATCTAAATCATTCATCAATATACAATTTACTATCTAATCCTTACTTACCATATTTCACCAAATTCATTACAAATGTCTATTCCTTTTCTTCAGGTGAAAATCATTCATAAATTGCTTCATAAAAATAAACAATCATAAAACTACTTTTGTTTACTTCCCACCCACCCCCATTTTAATTCATATTCATTACATCTAATAATCAGTTTAATAAAATAGATAATGTAGAAATACATTTTATAAACATAATTCCTTAGACGGTTGACGATGGTGGTGGTGGTGGTGGTGTGTATGGGGGTGTGTGGGGGTGGATGGAAACAAATACTACTGAATAATTTGTAGTTTATTATGTGTTTATATATTTACATTTTCTTTCAAAAAAAAAAACGTCCGCATAGTTCCGCTTGTCTATCCTGCTGTTTTATATATATATATATATATTTTGTTTTATCGAACCGGTCTTTTATAACTTTTTCTTTTCATTTGTTTTATATATCTATATGTGACGTGTTTTGTTTTCACTGTTGTGTCTACGTGTTCTTCATATTAGATCACTAATAGACAACAACATCAAAACTACACAATATTTACACTTACACTTACACTCATATGGGTAAAATGTGCATTTTTAAAGTTAACCGGCATTATTCAAAAGAACATTTTTCTTAATTATTTAAACAAATGTAATTCTTTTTTTTTTAAAAAAAAAAAGAAACAACGATTTACGATCAACGATAAAACTACCACTATTGAACATATACAATTACACTTTTTACCCCGTTTACTTGGAATACGGGAGGGGGGGTCTTTCTTTCATATGAATATGTGCGTGTATAAATGTGTTTCCATGTGGTAACACCCATCATCGATATTCTATCAATGTATTATAAACAGTTCGATTATAAGTAGACAGAAAATACATTAATTCTATTTACTTGAAACTATTTCGAAAGCATCATAATTCTTGAATCAAAAAGTGGTTGCTATGCCAAGAAGATATTGACAATGTAATAAATATAATAAAAAAAAATATGAAACATAATTACAGGTGCACTACATATTATATACATATGTACCCCTATTGATGTAATGAAATAATGCTTTATATATACATATAAGGAGTGGCTTGTTCATCTTTCAAGGTTAGACTAGACCCTGAATGATGACAGGTCAGTATAGACAGTTAGAGATTATTAATTAAAAGATAAATGTGTATGTGTACTACATATTATACATGGTATGTGTTTGGGCATTTTTGTTTTGCAAAATATCAAAATTATAAACTGATTATCTATACTTATTTATCTATAATATTCAATCATTTGTCCATTAATAAGAACTTTCTACCGGTAATCAATGTGTAGAATAAGAAAATATAGTTTTGTTTCTTTTACCTGTTTTTTCAACTTGAATGTGTATGTTAATTACTATTAATTATGTGAAAATATAAGATTCCTTTTAATTATGATTGATTTATGGATGCTAGATTTTAATGAAATAGTAATACCATATATGCCATGTATATTTATCGCGAGATGGGATCGTGGATGCGCACTGCTGAGGAGTTCCACAGTAGGACGAAACGGCAGTTCAGTGTTTCCAGGTTTTCTATAGTGATCTAGCTTCAATTGACTCATGATCTCAACTATTAAATTACTATAATATTCATTATATATATATATATATATATATATATATATATATATATATATATATATATATATATATATATATATATATATATATATATATATATATATATAGTTAAGCTTTATTATCAAATCATAATATGATCTAATGTGAAATGTTTTCTCTAATCAAGATTGACAGTTTATAAATTATTGACTTCTCTGTCTCAATATACAATCATTTATATAACTTCTTGTTATAACTTGTTATCGCCGATAGAGAGAGCAGTGATTTATCGATCGGGTCAAAGACGCGTAAAACACGTGAGAACAGACTAGAGTTCTGATTGGCCCTGCTTTCCGCCTAGCCCAGCCAGTTAAGTCCTGAACACCAGTCTCAGCATCTGCAATATGAATCCTTATATTTCAAACATACTGAGTTTATATAACAACCAAACAGACGACAACGTACCAATAAAATAGGAAACAACATTTGTACAATAATTAGCCAAAAGTGTCTGTGAATGTGGGAGATTGTAATTGAAAGACTAGGTATAACTCAAGAATGGTAAATCGTATAATAATAGTTGATAGATCAAAATAAAGCTTATAATTAGAGGAATATGAATGTGCATAGTTTAGTTAGTTAACAATTATACGATAAAAATATACGTTTAGTACTGGTCCATCAATAGGTCACAAAAGTTATCATTCATTATGCTTATCGGGATATAACACTTTTCTCTCAAGTATCATCCATTTTCATTATTTTTATCTTCGGGTTATTTTATTTGATGTTTGTTTGATTAGTTTGTATTCAATGTACATTCAAACTGATATAATCATAATAAAGAAGAATTAGTTAATATAAAATGAGAATTGTTATTGATTAATTCACTTAATGTGAATATAATACTTTAAATGTACCTTTTGAAGTCAATTAATTAAGTCTACCAGTATAGCTAAACAACATATTAGTATAGATCAATTCTATAATAAGTAACAGATTGTATATATCAGAAGGGATTTGTGGAGATTTTAGAAATTTCACAGATTGAAATCATGAGTCAATTGAAGTTAGACCATCATGAAAAACCTGGAAGCACTGGATGGCCGTTTCGTGGATTGGTTGAAGTTAGACATTGACACCATTGGATGCCGGCTCAGTGGTCTAATTGGTTAAGTGCCTGGTTCGAAACTGATAGGTCCTGGGTTGGAATCTCGCGGGGCGCGGGATCATGGATGCGCGCTGCTGAGGAGTCCCATACTGGGACGAAACGGCTGTCCAGTGCTTTTAGGTTTTCCGTGGTTGTCTATCTTCAATTGACTCATGATTTCAATCTGTGAGATTGTATATATTTGATCTCAGATATTTTGTTCAATATGATTTTTAATATACAGTAGAAATCTCTTAATTATTTATGCATAAACATTAGGGCATTCAAATGTTAACAATCATAGGTAATGTATCTAGAAAGTAAGTAATCAAATCTATTTGTACCGATGATTTTGATCTTATTATATTTTACTATTAGGTTATGTTTACAAACTTTTCTCCTTAAAATACTCAATTATTATCCCTAAAGCTTTTAA